CAGCCAGGTTCGACATGAAGACTGCCACTCCTGCCAAAACTCGCACGCCCACACCGGTCAGCACTTTATCAGTATCGGACACAGGTGGTTTCGTTCCGTTCTGGCTTCATTTTCGCTAAATAGCTGTTCCACTTCCGTCTTCTGCAGGAAACCAAGTTACCGTGCCCACTGCATTTCAAGAGGCGCACCTGCTCCTACAGAGCAGGGCGAAGCAGCACCCAGGCCGCAAAATAGATCCAGGCTCGTGGGTCTCCCCGGAAGAAGTTGAACATTGTCAGGGTCATGTAAGAGTTCCCTTGAGTAGACTTTCAGAAGCACTGAAAAGCAATATAGTAAAATGCAAATAATAAATTTCCATGTTCTAGTCGAATTGCTTTCTTGATCCAGCAACAGTCGGAGACATGGCGCACTCAAAAAGGACTACTCGAAGCCGAACACCACCAGTTTGGGGGCAGCTTCCATGCTCCTCTCACATACGGTTGAGCCTACCACAGTGCCTTCCTCATCGGCTTTGCCTCACATTTTTACCTTTTCAGAAAAGGAAGAGATGGACAATCAGGTTGGTACAATGTGGCCCGACTCCGCCCACTGCACCAGCGTGGACTCTACCTTTATCAGCATTCTTTATTCTACCATCTAACTTTATGGCGATACGCGTCCAACTTCATTTATTACTTAATGCTTACATTATTTATCGTTATCATTGGCATACTTTTGAATTAATCAATTACCTATGTTGACTAAATCATCCCCATCACCAGTAAGCAGTAATCTCACGTAAGCAGTGGAAGATGATATGCTGTTATCATGATGTTAGGGCTGCTGTTCCATTTCGATCATAGGGGGCTTCTCATTCGGTCTACTAACGATTCACTACTCAGTCAGTATGAGTTGGCTTCCCCTACATCTCTACAAATGGCGGAGAAGTCTCGTGAGTATTTCAATGTTTTTTCGTTACCAAAATACGCCTGACTATTCTTTTACAGTTTGCCAAGAGCGAGTGGCTCTTTGAAGGCCGTAGCGAAGGGGAAATAGTCAAGACCGTGGATGAAGACCAATTCATATCGTAAGTTATATGAATTGATCCCTATCTTTCTAGCTATGAATGGAACCTACGTATGGAAAACCTAAGCAAAGGTATTAGGGCACACTGAATTCCATTTTAAAAGTTGTGGGTGAGAATTTTGGACTTTTGTGCGTGGACTTGTTGCGAAATCCTGCACCCCAGACAGACGGAGGACAGCGGTTGCCAAATCATCGAAAAGTTCAAGAAGCATGTAACGTGCCAGGAAACGGACTTTTCAGGAGGGAACTCCGGGTGAGTGAACCACTTATAATCCTTGAAAAGCTGGAATATGCGAAGTCACAACAAACAAAGTGACCGTGCGGAGGATGAGAGATGCATAGAAAAACAGAAAGACCCAAGTCAAAGGGTATTAAGTTCCAACGCTGTCGCTGTAGAGCGGTAAGACATCTGTGGAGACGGATAAGACCACCGTAAGTTGCCGCGACGGGCACCATGCGGCCATGCGCGGCGGATTCTCGGTGTGCATCAGTCTGTCGGTTGGAGCAGTGAAACTCATACGAATCCAAGCGGAGACAAGAGTCCATGACGGGCGCCATCGAGTTTTCTCGTCCTGTTAACTCGAATTCAAACGGCCAGGCAGGGCAACTCGCCCCTTGGGGCGGTGCTGCTGCTCGCCAACGGCCACTGTCTTTGACATTGTTTATGTTGTTTTGGCCAGCGTACCGAAACATCTCACAATCAGTTCCATTGCTCGACATCGGAACGTTCTCATGGGACGGGTGAGAAAAGAAGAACCAGTGGAAATCGCATCGCCTAATTTTGGCTTCGGGCCGCGTTCCTACTTCGCGGCAGCGTCCATCAGCGACCATAGCTTTTCAAGCTTCCGCTAAACCTTCAGCGACCAAGAAAGTATAGTCATCGATCTAGCGAAGGGCAGCGTCTGCCATCGTCCACCAGCGTCCGCCAGCGAGTATCAGCGTTTGGTTGGGGCAGAAAAGTATGGTTATCTATCAAGCGTAATCAGCGACCACCAGCGACCATCACCGTTTTAAAGGGCCGTCAGCGTCAGCGACTAGGAAAGTATAGACACCGATCTAGCGTCTTCCAGCGTCACCATCGACCAGGGGTACGGTATTGTACTTTAGTACGGTGCGGTTCCATACGCTACAATCTCACGAGGCTGAATCCAGGTGTCTTCTTTCTCATACTTCCCCATACTCTCTACTCCTGGCTGCTGGTGGACGCTGGTAAAAGCTGGTAGAAGCTGTCGTCTGCTAGATCGATATCAATACTATCCTAGTTCCTGACGCTGACGGACGCTCGGACGCTGGAGGTCGCTAGTGGACGCTCATAGTATGAGTATCAGTCGTCATCAGTATGAGTATAGTATGAACGCAGCCTTGCATGGCCACAGCAAGGCATGATCACTAGACGAGCAAGGCAGGGGAACTCTTCCCATTTTTCTTTTTGACCACCCTACTCAGGCCTTGAAGCTGTTCCGATGTTTTGAATGAAGACACAGGCGGAGCAGAAGTTCCGCTAGTTCGACTTGATGTGACTTTCGCGTCAAACAAATTACAGTTTTGTTGCTGCGGATGTTGGGGCAGTTAGGAAGGCTGGGTTTGGCGGCGCCAACCTGTTTTTCACCGATTGCTGACTCTCTCTCTACAATAACTGGTGGAGAACGAACTGGTGTCGCACCGAGCTCATCCTCCCCCCCCCCTCCCTAACATGCCATGGCATCAAGAGCGACAAGAGGTGCGAACGATTCCGAGTGAGAGACTCTGTCGGTGTATTGGACACGGTTGCCTGGTGTGGGGTCAACAGAACTCTCTCGAACAACAACTCGTCTAATGCCTCGTTCTCTGATCGTTTGGAGGCTTCGGCTTCCCCTGGGCCCCTAAAGAGATCGCTACTTCATGGAAAAGTGGCCGTCATAAAGACGCGTTTTGCAGCCCACTGAGAAGGAAAATGCCTCCGAAAATTAGGTAGCCAGCTCCAAGTCGCAGAAAAAGTGCCACTCATCATTGGAGGGCGCGAGATAAGGATGTCCAAAACAAGATAACGACGTTACTGCGCGTGTTGCCTGCAGCATCGTAGCACAATTTCATTGTTGGATTTTGTTGGATTTTCGCGAGGGATGCTAGCGAGTCGACTTTTGCTGAAAGCACTCGTGCTCGTTTTGTACTGACCGTCTCGCCATCCGTTTCCTACCGCATTAGGGACACAGTGCGGCAGTGGAACCTTTAGCGCGCGCCGGTGGTTTTTTTTCCTGGAAGCGAGCTAAGAGCGATCAGAAAGAATGGGTAGAAAAGCGTTACGTAGCGTAGTTCTTCTCACATCTATTGGCTGCTCGCCTACTAAAGGAAAATTTCCAGCTATCTCAGGGTAAAGGGAGCTCCTTAGAGTTCCTAGGGGCAACAGCATGAGCTCTACGGCATCAAAGGGCATGAATTGAAATTGCTACTCGGTCTAAAATGGTAGCAGAGGTGCTATGTAGTGGGGAAAATGGCGAAAAAGCGAAGTGAAACGGTCAAAACCTGCAAAAAAGCCTTTGTTCTACACGACTCAGAGCGAATTTCGGACGAGTTCCCGTTGGCATCGTGCCAATAACCGCTACGGTAGATACGGCTGCATGTATGTACTCATATATCCATGCAGCACCGCAGCCGCTTCATATCAATCCCTTCGCTTCATATTGTACTTCGCAAATGAAGCGATACGAGCATCAGCATCGGTCGGACATTTGTGGGCGGGCGCGGTGGGCGTCCGGGTCGGTATGTTGCAGCTTGATAGGGCGCTGTAGGGTACCTCCCTTGGAAAAAAAATGAAAAAAAGAAAAAAAAACGGCGCCATGCAGCACCTGCTCAGGGACCCGAATTCTGTCCTGCAAGGCTTACTTATCCCGCACGCCTTCGGGATTTATTGTGTTAGTTGCCTTTGAGGTGTGGAGCGTTATTCCCGGGTCGAGGCGAACGCCACTTCGCAGCAGGACCCAGTCCACTGCGGAACTGCGGCGCGTCAACTGTTGACTCACTGCGTCTTTCAAATCGATTAGCTCCTCTAAGTTTGTCGAGTCAACTAGCTAGGAAATGCACTGCTAGTGCGCGATGCCGCGGATGTAACGGATTCGGATGTAACGCTCCACACCTGATTGCCTAGTATAAAATGTCAGCTCAATGGACATTGAAATTCTAGGTTCAAAAACTCGGAGAGCGTGCTCTCACCATCGAATATGGTGAGCACCAACAATTACACTTACCTGAATTTTGTGCCAAAATTTCTTTACGAGCAATTCAAGCAAGTGGCTAATTTGTACTTCCTAGTTCTGTCGGTCATACA